GCCACAATGATATAAGTTGGTCTCGAATTTCTATTAAAGTATGCATGTGTTTGTTTCCTAGAAAGTACTACAGGCTTAACTGCTCAGTAGTTTAATTGAAGATACGAAGACCAAGACGTTTGAGAATGTACCAAGTCTACTTTCTGATGCTGGGAATCATGACAACTACTATGGCAGACGACTTCAGACTGGGTGCGTTCTACTAAGTCGCCCGGACAACAAGACCAAGTTGCACCAACGAAGTCAACCCACTTCTTTAACTACTTGGGTTCAATTCTGACTGTGTGTGTGGATAAGACCTAGGCGAAGTCGAAGCCGCAGTCCAGCATGCACGAGAATACCGTTTAGAAAGCAAGTCAACGTTTAATTCGATGGAAACATTAGTCCTACCCATATGAATTAGGGAAAATTAGTCACCTTATTAGATTTAGGGTTACTGGGACACTTATCCAAGTTTGAACGATAGTTTCGAAAGCCAGGCGATTTCTCTATTTATCGTTTTCTAAAAGGGATTTCCCATTCCGGCGGGGCCGCCAACTCGATCTTGATCTCGTCCGAGTCTACATATCTCTACCAATACTAGTTGAAAACTGCAGATTTTTACTTTAACCGTAGACCAATGACATTGAACGTGCCTGGTGGAAAGACCAAAGTATCCCCGTCTTGAGCCTCACTTTCAAGCTTTGCCTCAAGTTGGGGATGTTGCTTAAACGATTTTTCGATTCACAAACAAATAGAAAATTTCAGGATATCTTTAATTTTTTCCCAGTCTAAGCCCTTACTTTCTTCTTGTCCCGCCTCTTTTCCGTGTCCATCACTGCCCGCAATGGGACTCGAAATGGGTCGTCTGCGTCAAGAGGCAACACGTTACTACCAAGCCACTCAGCTTCGTGGCACCAGATTATACCGGTACCACTCAATGGCAGATGCGACTTGTACATTTCCCGTGGAAGTAAGGCCGACACGATTAACTTGCAAGTTCCATTATAAATAGTTGAACATATAACTATATGCTCTACCTTTTTCGCGTGTAGTAATAACAAATGGGAGAACTCAACTGTCATTCTATGAATCATCTTAATCAAACTGGGCTGACTAATTGCAAGTCATGCGAAGAAAAGTTGGGTTTCGAAGAATCTCTTGTTTCATAATTGTTGAACTCACTTTCATTTTGAGTGAAAGTGTTTGGTGAAAATGTCTGTACTCTTTAGCCCAATCTTTCTTTCTTACATGAAGACAACGAACGCATCAACACAACCGGACGTGTATCCGAACTTGAGCAATCGGAGTGGTCATCAAACCTTGACGACTGGAAAGTTACTTTTTCAATTCCAATTACTTTGAGCCATCACTGCTGGTTTCGTACATATGCAAACACATACAGGCACATACACGTACACCGACAGACACACTCTCATGCATCGAGGTTAACATTGACTTGAACTGACCAAATCACTTTATATCTTATCAAGGAGCTTAGATATAAAGTATATACATAGCGTGTAGGGAAGAGTCGGTGAGTTTTATTTAATCGGATGATGTACGTCATACGAAGGACGAAAGCTTAGCACATTTTCACCGGACTCGAAAGTGATTGCCTGAGAAACAGCGTCACCAAGACAGTTCCAATAAAGCCAATTGATAGTTGGTCACGAGGAAATCACCGTCGTCTTTTGGTGAGATCGATCTGCGAATCTCTTCACCAAAAACTCAAGATGGAAATAAGCTCAACAATAAATACAAGTCATCCTATATCGTGTAGGGTGATGAAGGACTGATTGTTGAATTGTCCCATATTGTCATGAGCGGGCCTCGGTTCGAGTCCTATTGTGGGTGCTGATGAAACCCTGGCGTGGCAGAAACTGCAGTCGAGTCCGGCCAGGATGAGAATACCCTTTAGATGTAGGTCTGAGCGAAATTCAATGGTATCGTGAGGTCTACTCCTACGATTATGGAACAATCTATCTAAGGCTGAGTGAAACTTTTATTCGAGATTGACTGATGCTCTCGAGAACCCACTTTGTCTGAATGTGACTGGAAGTTTGTCTTATAGGCGGTAAAAGCGCCAAGAAGTGTGAAGTGTGCATTTTGCATCTGCCATGGGGCGGATTGGCCGATTGTGCGGTGCAATGGCAGATGTGCAGTGGTACCAGGTGACCCGCATGACCCAACTTCGAGTCCCGGTCGGGCGCGAGGTGGCCCGAAACCTTCGCTGGGCACCGTCTGGCCTCCTCGTGTCCACACAGACCGACTTGGTCGACCGATACTTCTGGCGTCAGCCTCATCTTGGCACTCGTCGGTCTTTGGTCACCGAGTTGCCAACCACTACGCCCAGTCGCCAACCAAGAGGATTGAGTCTCCAACTGGAGTGGTTGTGAAGAGACACACGTCCTCGAGTAGTTGGCAGACACTGCTTTTGAAAATCAATACTGAGTTCTCAGCACAGTCGTTGTGCCTGTGCTTTTATCATTATCCACTGGCATGGATGCGGTTTCTTGTGCGTTGTTAGTGTGCTTCTGTAAATGCCTAGCACTGGGCGACCGGTCGATAGGCATTACAACGAAGGGACGCTATTACCGGACAATGATAGGTCACTGAGAGTACAGATGCCTATGCATCCACCTGGAGTTATACGAAGTGTATCTGCGTCTAATTACAGACCGTCTATCCGTTGCGAAGACAGGCAGACGAGGTGTTCTCCAGACTCCTCTTGCCTCCTGCAGCCTCGGCCTGCTCTACCCCACCTCGACACGTGCCAGGTCTGCGGATGCCGGAGGGGAGGGGCGGCGACTGGCCAGATTGGCAGAGCTCATCTTCATCCGGCGCCTTCAGACCGGCCGAAAGGCCCTCGACGTGTCACCGAGCCACGATGTGGACACGAGGTGGACTCTTCGCGTCGGGTGTTGGCATGGCGAGGCCGAGCTCGACGGTTCGAGACTGGACGGGAAGATGATCCAGGGCTGTAGGTTGTTGCAAGTCGGTTACGGAAGCGATGCGACTGCCAGTTCGAACTCGCGTCGGCCTCGTCCATCAGCTTTCCCAGGCCGAATTCAATATCGGATGTCGTGAGTATCGTGACACAGTTACGCATGTCAGTTGGTTGCAGGTCAAATGTGAAGGTCACGGCAAGCGATGCGAAGCCCAAATCGCGTTTTCATGTTGGGATTGTCGATTGATCAAGCATGCATTTGTACTGATCTTTGAGATGAGTGGTTTTCGAGATAATCAGCAATTCTGGAATAATAACTAGTCGTATTTGAGTAGGGTTTCGAGACTACCAGTAAATCAGTGTAATGAGATGTATTCACCCTATTTC